CAATCCCCCCCCCCCCCCCCCCCCCCCCCGCCATCGGTCCCTGGTCGTCACATCATGTGTGGCCTATCTGACACGTCAAGCCACGCCCCATCTCGGCCCCTTGTCTCTCTTCCGCTCTCCTCGCCTCCTGGCTGTGCGTCACCGCCGCACCTGGATAGTGGGCTTGAAATTGTTGAACGCTGGCGCTCCGAGGGCCACTTTGCGGAATTCCTGTCTGAACCCAGCGGCCATGTACATCCTGCATTGCACACCAGCCGTGCCGGCTCGGCGACCATCTTGTCTGGCGGCCGGCCTGGGCCGGAGAGCTTCCCCAATAGCCCGTCCGAGTTGGGCACGCCACAGGCACACGCGAGCATCGCCCATCAGGCTCGCGGCCGGGCCAACGAGGGCCCACTGTCGGCGGCCGGCCGGGCCTCGCGACCGGATCTGACCCCCGGTCACTCGAATGCATCCTCCCTGTCGTTGGACTTTTCTCGGCCACCCGGTGGGCCTCGGCGGCCGGCGGCCGGGACCCCGGATCCGCTTCCCGGAACCGGCCGGCTCCGAGCCGGGGTCCTCCCCTTCGCCAACCGGCGGGTCTCCGTGTCCGGCTCACATGCGGATATGTCTCCCTCCTCCGGAGCAAAGGGGCCTCGCGGGTTGGTCGCGTCTCCCGGGTCGCCGATGGCCACGCTCGCGGCCACGGGGGGGCTTTTCGTTGGACGCACGCATGTGTCACTGCCTCCTTCGCCGCGCTTCGATCAGCGCGATGCTCCGGCCAGTGGGGCCGCGCGTGATGGGTCCCCTGCTTCCGAAGGAGTGACCCCCTCTTCCGGGACTCCGCCCGCGTTTGGGGCATCTGGCCAGCTTGTGGTACATGGCTCATCGGAAAAGGGCCATCCCGCTGGCTCGCTGGCTGATGGCGACACGCCGCGGGATCTCGAGGATGGGCTTGGCATGGGCCACGAGACCAGTGACCACGCCGGGTCCAGCGATGCCCATGGCCCGTGCGCAGCATCGCCAACCGAGTCGCCGGGCGGTGCCTCGGCGGCCACCGAGTCCGTGGCCGCCGACCTGGCGGCAATGCCGGCGGTCCATGCGGATGATCCCCCGGGTGACATTGCGACCGATGAGGATGGCACGCAGACCGCCCAGGGCGACGACCTGACTGCCAGTTCCCCAGGGCCTGAGCAGGACATCCGCGGTGCCGAACCGGCCACGGGAGAGGCTGCCGAGGAGGAGTCTGTTGAGGCCGCGCTGCGCGAGGCCGCGGCCGATGCGGGTCTCGCGGCCCCGATCGCGACAGAGCCACCAGCCGCTGACCTGGCCGGCGACTCGACTGTCGATGCCCCGGCGGGCGGCGATGCGCCAGCCCCCGCGGAGGATGCCGACATCTCGATTGACTATGATTTTGCCTCCGGGCAGGACAACTCTGCCACCATCATGGCACATTACGGCGGCCGGCCGCAGATGATGCACCGGCGCAATTCCCTCTAGAGTTGCACACTCCCGGGCTGGGACAATCGCCCGGTCTGTTCCCCCCCCCCCCTCCCTCTCAACGCGTCTGTCTGTGTGTGGGTGACTGTCACTGGGCGGTCGGAGTGCCTTCCGCCTGCATGTGCCGCTGCTGCTGAGTCAGGTGCATCTCCCAGCGCGTTCTTGTTCCTCCTGTCCCGCTGGTTGTGTCGATGTGCTCTCTCTCTCTCCCTCTCTCTCTCTCTCTCTCTCTTGTCTGTGCCTTTGCACAATAAAGCTACCCCGTGAAGGATGGATCAAGCAGGCGGCGATCGAGTTAATGCTTAACCGCAAGCGCGCCGCATGACTATGCGCATGATCTTGCGACCTGACTCGTGGCGAGCCATGGCCCTGGGACATCTGGCGCCCCTGCCGTCCGGTGGCAGATGTGCCTTGAGGCTGGCGCATCCCCGTTGGCTCTAGGTGTCTTTTGGCGAGGGGGGGCGGACCTCCGACAAGGCGCGCACATGCGGCGCGCGCGTCCTTCTTTTGGGGGAAACTATGGCAGCGGGGCGCAGACTCACGCCGGGGCGCGGGTCAGCCTTACTGGGGTGCGACAGCAGGCGCCCCGGGGGGAGGGGGGCGGCGGGGGCCGAGGGCGGAGAATGGCGAGCGTGTGCCCTTGTCGGGGGTGATTTATTCACCGGGAACGCCTCGGGAAAAACAGACACCTGGGTGTGCTGCTACGCGGGATTATCCCCGGGAACGGGTGGGCAGATCCCCGACCTGGGGGGGGGGGGGGGGGGGGGGGGACCCCCGGCGCGGAGGCGACGCGCACACGCACACGCGCCCGCAGACGCCCTCACAACCCACCCTCTCTGGTAGACATGCTGGCGGCCGCCCGGCGTCGGGGGTGGAGGAGGCCGGGGGCCCGCTCTCGACGGGAAACCGGTGTGCACGGGTCATGGGTGCGGTGTTTGTCGGCGTCTGACCAGCCTACTGGCGCCCTGAGCACCCATCCCAGTTGGCTGACCGCCGGGAGGGCAAGCCAACCCAAGCAGCCCCACGTGTGTGTCGGCTCAGATTCGTTCTGTGCCCCCCCCCCCCCCCCCGCCCCGCCCCCCAGCCAGCCTTGCTTTCTTGTGGCGTATGCTTGGATATGCGGCGGGCTCGCCGCCCTTGGTACTTCACTCGGCGGGGCGCCTGGGATATGCTCATTTCAATGCATGCATGGCAGCCCTTTCCATCCGGTGCCGTGGGGAAAGCGCCCGGAGCTGGGGGGGGCCACGGCGTTGCGATCGGCGACGCTGCGCATGCCCATGGGGAGGTGGGGCCTGCCCACACCGCCCAATAATGGGGCATGGTTCACTGCCACTGTTCGGACAATTTTCCGCCCGCACCCTGTCCAGCCGGTGGCTCTCGCCATCAACGCGGGGGACCCCAGCCCCGGCTGATCTAGCACAGGGCGAGGCCCGGAACTCGGCCAGCCGCGAGGGCATTTTCAGGAGGCTCGCCTCCGGTCGCCCGGTGTAACGCCGGTGCTTGGCAGAGAACACCTCACATGTACATCCACCGCCTCGCCGCCTCGCCCCTCGCCGCCTCGCCCCTCGCCGCCTCGCCCCTCGCCGCCTCGCCCCTCGCCGCCTCGCCCCCCTCCCGCCTCCTCTCGTTCCCCCACGCGTCTCCTCCTCAGCGCCTCGATCGGTCAATCCGCGACCAATCCGCGACCTGTCTCCTCTGCCAGATCGCGTCTTGTCCTCCCACCGGCCTCCCTCCACGGCTCTGACACTCCAACGCCCTTGTCCGTTGTCCCTGCTACGTGATCAGCTTCTCCGTCTGCAGTGGCTATCTGCCTCTGTTACTGCTCTACTGCTCTGCTGCTGTCCTTGCAGACTCCCAAGATCAGGTGCGTGTCCTCCTTCGCCTTCGCCTTCCCTCCACCACCGTCCTTTTCCTTCATCCAAGGCCCCCTCCCCCCGGCCGCGGTAGGTGGAGCTGTGTGCATACGCACTGGTCCCGGATGTGCCAGAGTCAGGAGAAGGTGGAGTGCTTGGGTGGAGACACTACCGGCTCTGGTCGGTCCCCCTCCTCCTCACGGAAAGGGGACCTTGCCGGCCACCTCGGACCATGTATGCTTGCTGGCGGTCGTGCCTCTTTCCCTTGCTCTCTCCCTCTCTTCCAGTCTCTCTCCGCTCCGATGCTGCCCACATTGTCGAGGCCGAAAGCCGTGGCACACGCTCGTTCGGCTGTGACCGGGGCAGATCACATGACCCGCGATCTGGACTAGAACCCACACTCCGAGCCCCCAGCACCACTGCCATGGGCCGCGCGGATGCGGGGGCCGTATTTCCCGAGCCCCCCCCCGCCCCCGCCCCACACCCCTCTCGACTGGCTGGAGCACTAGTGAGTGTGTGTGTGTGTCTCCGTGCGGGGGGTCGCGCACTATACCCCAGGGGGGGGGGGTTCGGTGGACCAGTGTCCTGACTCGCAAGTCATCACATCTAGGGCCGATCAGCCCCTGCTCGCGCAAGATCGCCCCCCCGTTCTCCCGTTCTCCCGTCCATGTAGCGTCGTGCATTCTTATGTGTGATCTCCCACTAACGCCCCCGCTCCCTCCCTCCTCGCTCCCAACCCGTCGTTCCCGCCCCTCGGCCTGTGCCCGCGGGACATTCCATCTGCCCCCGGTCTGTGTGCCTTTCCGCAGTCACCTCTCCCTCGCAATGTGTGCGTGTGTGACCCTGCCCCTGTTCTCCCCCCTCCTTTCTGCTCGCAGCTTCAGGCCCTCTCCTTCCCCTTCTCCGGATGGGGAGGGGGGGGGGGCATTCATCGGGCTCGATGGCAACTCGCACCACCCCCCCCAGTGTCACGCACTTCCTTTCTCCCCCTGACAGACAACCCGCTCCTCTCATCGCTTGCTCTCTCTCTCTCTCCCTGCTGCTGGCAATCACCATAACATGCTCCGCTTTCGCGCTGTCGCCTCAGCTGCTCGCTCCTTCTTCTCCGCCATCCCTGCGGCCCCCGCGGACCCGGTGTTCGGCATTGCGCTGGCCTACAAGAATGACCCGGTCCCGGAGGCCCAGAAGGTCAACCTGGTGGTCGGCGCCTATCGTGACAGCGCCGGGCTGCCGGTGGTCCTGCCCTCGGTCGAGCGTGCGGCCCGCCTGCTCTCCGAGAGTGAGACCTCCTCGGATGGCCACCACGAGTATCTGCCGATCGATGGGCTTCCGGCCTTCCGCCAGGGCGCTGCCCAGGTGATGTTCGGCGACGAGTGCATGTCCCTGCTGGCCGGGCGTGTATGTGCTTTCTCCTCTTGCTCGCTCCTGCGCCGCCTTTGCTCTTCTTTTTTTCCTCCCTTCCCCTGTCATCATCATTAACATTGGCCCTTCTCCCGGGTGTTGTTGCTGCTACTGCTGCTACTGCTGCTACTGCTGCTGCTGCTGCTACTGCTGCTGCTGCTGCTACTGCTGCTGCTGCTGCTGCTGCTGCTGCTGCTCGCCCCCTCTGTCTCGGGGCCCATGGGCTTCCAGCTCTACACCACCCAAGCCATCTCCGGCACCGGCGCCCTGCGGGTGTGCCTGGACTTTGTCCGGCGCCATCTCGGCGAGCGCACCGTCTACTACCCCCAGCAGACGTGGCCCATTCACCCGAATGTTTGCGCCGAGGCCGGGCTCCCGGCCAAGGCGTACCGGTATCTGGCCACCACCGGTGGCACCGTGCGTCTCGATGCGGAGGCCATGCTGGCCGATCTGACCGCCGCCCCCGAGGGGTCGGTCATCTTGCTTCACGTGTGCGCGCACAACCCCACCGGCGTGGATCCCACGCCGGCCGAGTGGGAGCGCATCGCGGATGTCATCGCCGAGCGGCGGCTGCTGCCCTTCTTCGACAGTGCTTACCAGGGCTTCGCCACTGGCGACCTGGCGCGTGATGCTCACGCGGTGCGGGCCTTCGCCCGGCGCGGGCTCGAAATGTTCGTGGCCCAGTCCTTCGCCAAGAACATGGGTCTCTATGGTGAGCGTGTTGGCGCCTTGCATGTGGTCTCCAACGATCCGACCGGCCTGGACCACATGGGGCAGCAGCTCCGTCGGGCCATCCGCTCGTCCTACTCCAACCCCCCGGCCTATGGGGCGCGCCTGGCGGCGGCCATTTTCCAGGACCCGGCGCTGTTTGCCCAGTGGTACGCACGCGCATGGACATGTGCTCTTTTCCTTCCTCCCCCCTCCCCCGGGGGAGGCATCCTCCGGGCGCTGGCGTGCGCTCACTTGGCCACAAGCTGACCTTCGTTTGTCATGGTGTCTCCCCTCCCCGCCGCCGCCGCCGCCGCCGCCGCCGCCGCCGCCGCCGCCGCGGATGCCACGTAAACCCCCCACAGGGACGAGGACATCAAGCTCATGTCTGGCCGGATTGCCGGCCTGCGGCAGTCTCTGCGCAGCGCCCTCGAGGCCCGCCAGACCCCTGGTGATTGGTCGGTCATCACCTCGCAGATTGGCATGTTTGCCTATCTCGGTCTGTCTGGTGCGTCCTCTTTTTGGCCCGCAGAGGGGGGGGGGGG